TTCTCCTTTTTGCCTCTCCCATTTCAAAATATTTCACAAAACGTTATTTTTTTTTTTTTACTAGTATTAAGTATTGCAAAACAATTGGCCAAGTGTATAATACACTGTTTTGACTATAGACACTATTTTGCATAACCAAATATTTGTATCAACTGAACAGCATATGCTTTCCAGTGTTTTCCACCTCATAGAAGTGGCATCATCATTCTAAGTGAAATAAGCCAGTCACAGAAAGGCAAATACTGCACAATTCTGAACTATAGATTTTTGATGGTTGTTAATATGATCCTGTATAAAACAGGGACATTTAAGAATAAAATACTCACGCCATATATTTTCTACCACATTTCTAATAAGATAAAATGTAACATATACCAGTATACATTGGTATATGCATACCTGGTCTAAAGGTGTACTTTGGCTAGCAGAACAACTAACATATAAAATATACCTAATTTTCCAACATATGCTACAACGTGGCTAAATCTTGAGGACATTTTGCTAAGTGAAATATGCAGGTCACAGCAGGACAAACATTATATAATTCTACTTACCTGGAGGACTCAAAACAGGAAGCAGAATGGTGGTTGCCAGAGGTCGAAGGGAAGGGAAAAATGAGAATGTTTACTGGGTATGGAGTTTGGCTTTGAGATGATGGGAAAGTTCTGGAGACACATGATGGTCATACAACTGTGTAACGGTGCTTACTGCCACTCAACTGGACACTTAAAAATGGTCAAAAAGGTAAATTTTATAGTAAGTATGGTGGTGGTTTAGTCACTAAGTCATGTCTGACTCTTGCAACCCCATGGACTATAGCCCACCAGGCTCCTCTGTCCATGGGGTTCTCCAGGCAAGAATAACGGAGTGGGTTGCCATTTCCTTCTCCAGGGGAATCTTCCTGACCCAGGAATCAAACCGGGGTTTCCTACATTGCAGGCAGATTCTTTACCAACTGAACTACAAAGGAAGCCCATATAAGTATATTTTACCACAATAAAATGTTGAAAGAAAAAAAATATATATATAGTTCATGCAGAAAGACTGTGTCAACAAGGACGGAAGGATGGACAGATCAGTGTTTAAATTAAAGCAGTTTGGAAAATTCCATGGGAAAACTCTTTTAACTGAATGAAAAAATAAGAATGTTTTAGAGCGTTTAAAATGCGAATAGAAACTGGGACACTTCAAAGGAGAAGGTACAATATTCAAGTGAAAGAAACTTAAACCAAGAATCCGGTGTAAGATGTTTAATTTTCAAGGTGATACTGTGCCTGAATGCTTTCCATATTTTGAAAAAAATGTTGACTACTAAAATATCTCCTGAGGGTAAGGGACATATATGTTCACTTAGTGGAGAAAAGATCTTGTGGGTTCTCAATAAATAAAATACTTTTGTTAGTATAATCATATTAAAACCTAGTATCTGCTTAATGAATGTAATGTTCCCACACAGACTTCTTTTCTTATATAATAGAGAACTGACTGACTTCTGAACCAGGGAGTTCATAAATATTTTAATTTTCATGATCCAGAATTTTCCTCAGCTGCCACAATGAAATTCTTTTTTCTCTTGCCAATATGCTTCAGTGGTTGAATATGCAAGAGAAAGCTTTGTCATAATTTAAAAATATTACTCTAACTGATGAACTCAGTGAAATTTCACTGAAATTATGAACCGTGGCATATCTCATCCTCTGATTAGAGATGGTGATATGTATTCTGCAGTCACAGAAATTTAAGTAAAACAACCAGATAATCCAAATCACTACTTGTCATGAATACAGTCTGTGTATAATATGAATAGGTAAATTTTTAGATTTTATAAATATTTAACATTTAACACATGTGGTATCATAAGGCATTTATTAGCTGCCTGCATGTGTTTGGCCCTCCCGGTTTTACTTCAGATATAACTTTACCTTAAATATTTGGAATTATGTAGGGGAAATATTAATGGAAGGACTTCAGCTTTGGTGACTGGAATTTGACTTCTATTTTATAGTACAGTTAAGTTCTAGAATATTTAGCTTTAAGAAAGTCCTTTGACATGTACTGGAATGAATGTCATTGGTTAAAAAAAAAAGCAAAACAGCTGAGCAGTTCACTAAGATCTTTATAGAGTTGATTGCATCATTTTATAGAGGTGATTGCTTCCCTGGTAGCTCAGCTGGTAAAGAATCCACCTGCAATGTAAGAGACCCTGGTTTGATTCCTGGGTCAGGAAGATCCCTTGAAGAAGGGATAGGCTACCCACTCCAGTATTCTTGGGCTTCTCTGGTGGTTCAGCTGGTAAGGAATCTGCCTGCAATGCAGGAGACCTGGGTTCATTTCCTGGGTTGGGAAGATCCCCTGGAGAAGGGAAAGGCTACCCACTCCAGTATTCTCGCCTGGAGAATAGCCCATGGGGTCTCAAAGAGTCAGACATGACTGAGCAACTTTCACTTTGCATTATTTTGCTTTCATATATCTTTACAGTGATGGGCTTTAAAAATTAATTTTCATTTTTCAAAAGACAGTGTTTTGGGTTCTGTGGAAAGTGCAATGATTGACATTTCAAGATAAAACGTCCAGATAATGAAAGAAATGGTTAAAACTTTTCTTCTAAAGCTGAATTTCAACATGAATATGATCTATTTTGCCTTGAAAACTTCTTTACTGTTTATGCAGTTGAGTGACACAGGCATAGATGTGAAGCATCTGTGGAAGAGTTGGTGATATTTGGGTCATTTTGTACTTTCCGTTTCCACATTCAATGGCATTATAGCCGTTACCATTGTGTATAACAAGGATTGTTCTCTGCATGGTCTTGCTTGCTTCCTTTGTGTATTAACATGTAATTTGTTGCTTCAATAGGGCGATATTGAATCTATTGCCCAAACAGGGTACTTGAGAGGAAAGAGGAGAGGTATTAATTATTATCCTTGGACAATGGGTATAAACTGGGACATTTCTGGGCCAACCCAGATGGGGGTGCCTGTGGTTGGGAGATGAGGGATTCCTTGACCAAGTTCACAATCAAGAATTGGGAACTTGTTAACACATTTCAGAGATCAATTATATATTTAAACCTTGTCTATTTGTATATTCTTCTGACTGAGAAGAGCTGGGAGGTTGCTTAGCAGGTGCTGAAGTTCACAGAAGACCAAAGAACTAGATCAGATTTTCTGGATGCTGAGGGAGACAGTCACAGTTAGGTCATACATTCTTAACACTGTCAAAAAACCGAAGAGGCTCTGCTTGGAGCAGTAATTTGCTATCAATAGCAGTATTCCAGCAAGTCTGTAACCAGAGCTGAGAAAAGAAAAACATCCAGAAGCAACAGATTGCCAGTTAAGTACTATGTGGGTGGACAGCATTTCCTTGTCATGTTGATTCACCATTAGGTTATGGGCAACATTTTCCCATTATTATATTATAGTTAATTTGCTTGTTTTTATTTTTGAAGAATACATTTAAGGGGAAATAATATTTGCTTGTAGAGAAAAATCTTTCATTACATATCCATTATATGAGTATCTAAACAAGCATAGCTCTAAGAACTAAACATTGAATTTACATGGAGAGAAAATTTGTGGCCTTATCTGCAAAGTACCCTTTAGTGTTCTACGAGTTGACATATTAGTGATAAAATATCTGGTCTTGACCCAGGCATCCATTTTTATAGAAATTTGAATATCCTTTGATTATTAAGATATAGTGAGCTTATTCAATATACTGGTAAAATTGGTCACATTTTAAAAAATTGAACATAACAGTTAAGAGCAAGCAGTGATGCATCTTTTAAATTTTGAGACAAAGTCCCTGGTGTAGGGAGGCTTCCAAGTATAACCTTTGGTATCAGACAGCTCAAAGTCTGGATATTCCATTTACTAAAATTTACCATAGGCAAGTTACTTAGCACTAATGTTTCCAAAAGATAATTACACTTGCTTTGTAGGGTGTTTGTGAACACAGATGGTAATATATGCAAAAGACTTGCCACAGACTTGGAGCTCAGTGGAAATACATCTATTCTTATTTTATTGAAGATCATAGAATTGTGATCTGAGGGAGCTGTCAAAACTTTAGGTGTTTTTTGACCGAGACCAAGAATTGTCTTATCCTGCTTTCTGTGATGAAAATGCCTCTGCATAAAGAGGGATACTTGCAAATATATTTTAAATCAATTGCATGGATTTATCTCCCAAACCGCTATCTAATATAGACTGATAGTATAATTCTTATTTTAGGATAAGGAAACTTTAACAGATAGAAATTAATTTCTTGAAAGCACAAATCAAGTTGTTAGAATGTCTAGTGTACTACCCAGTCCACTGAAACTTGCTGGTTTTTTCCTCACAAATTTGGTGACAAAGCTATGAGTGTTGTTTAGGAAACTTACTCTAAATCCTGACTTTCTCCAGAACTCGTTATTTTGTGAGAAATGTAGGAACTTAAGTATTTTTCAATGCGGTAGTTGTGTATTAAGAGGAAGGAAAAAAGCAAAGTTCAAGAATATCTAATTTACTTGCAATCCAAAGCGGCTGGGGATTTTTTTCTTTTCTTTTTTTTTTTTTTTTAAGAGAAACTGTTAAACTAACATAATAGATTGAATTCTAAGGTGCTGACCTCAGGCTCTTCAGGTGTCCAGAATTAATTTAAATTCCATCCTTTTAACCATCTCAGCGGGTGAATCTTTTTCATCTTGGCAGTTGAATTGGTTACTCTGAAAAGCTGCAGAAGTTTACCTTGTGTCATTAAATGCAATAGAGATGGCCAACCAGGAAGAAATGTGCCAGGTGTAGAAAGAAGAGTGTAGAAGGGCGCTGCCTCACACAGCACATGGAGAACTTTGTGAGGTTGGAAAAAGCCAAACGACTCTGATGATCAGAAAACATTCTTTACAAAGTAGAGTGGTGGTTCTGACCACCCAGGTTGATTGGCCACGCCAGAGTCAATATTTCCCTGCTTGCTCCCCCTTTGTTCTTCTCACTTGTTTTCCTTTCTGTCCTTAATAGCCAGTCATCTCAGGTGTGACTTTGAGTCTGGTTTCTGCGGCTGGGAGCCGTTTCTCACAGAAGATTCACAGTGGGAATTCGTGAAAGGGTTGCCCAGTGCAGACCCCCATCTTCCTGATGCTGAGCACCCAACAAGCACAAATCATGGTAGGATATTTTCCTCTTTTCTTAACATTTTTTTGTTGTTGTTTTTCCTGTTGTGGGATAATCATTCTGTGCATTTTCACTTCCCACTATAGACTGTATTAAGTGGAACTCTGGTTTGTCTTGCTTTCATTTCTTCTAATCAACTTAATAATTTGTGGTTGAGTTTTCCGAAAGGAGCATTGTTTTAATAACAAAACATTTTGTTACATCTTTTTAAAGGTGGGATTGAAGGCATGAAGAGGCGAAAAGTCTTCTGATAATTTTCTCTCGTTGTCATGAATCATGTACAGTAGGCTTACCTTCATTTTAGAGCAATCCCAAGTTTTGCAAAACAGAAAGAATAGTTTAATCCTTTTTCTAGGAAAAGAGAACAGATATAGCACTAGCTCGAAAATAAATTGCAAATACTCTAATACAAGTTAATCACTCTTAAATCTTCTTTGTAATAGTCTTACTTCTTCCCGGTACATCCTTTTATTTTAACCAGCAGTATAGTTTTTACATAGCCCCTTAAAATAGAGCAACCATAACTATATATAGCATTCCACTGAAGGGTTGTAAAAATCCAAGGAAAATAGAAGGGTTTTGTTCTGTTTTTGTTTTGTTTGATGAATTGCACAGGTACATTAGTTTCATACTGACTTTATAATAACACAACTGTGCCATAGATCCTCTTCAAGCTTGTATAACCTCCACTAGACATTATATCTGTTTCTCCTTTGAGATGTCCAAAGAAGTACATCAAAACTAATATGTTGACTGTGTTTTCAGCCATTGGAAATTGGGGTTAGTGGGGGAGGATGTTAGGGGACAGAGAGTGAGACTTTGGCTATTCATTCCATCTGTTGTCTAAAACTATAAACTCAGCTTATTATTTAACAGTAGATTAAGATCTTAATTTCTGCTCTCGTGCCAGTGGGCCTTATTTTTCCCTTCAGATTCTGTGGCAGATTGGATTAAATTTAAAGTTTAAAATAGGAAGGAGACTATTAATTATTGGAACTATATTTATTACTAGTACATTTCCTCCAAGCTTATATAATGTTTTCTTAAACCAATTGAATACATACCATATATTAGACCTGGGTGTGTACCAGTGGAAAGATATTTGAGTTGTCCCTACATTTTGGTGATTATGAGTATATAATTTGCCGACGGGTTTTGTCTGGACATAAATTTTCATTAGACTTGAGCACTCTGTCCAATTCCTATGTATAATTAATGTTTCCACTCTGGTTAGTAAAAAGACCCTACTGTTTCTGGCTCTTTATGACCTTGGGGTAGTGTTTCAGCTGCTCCTCTTAGAAGGTTGTCCTCCAGCCTCAGGTGGTTTCCTTATGCCCATGCCCTGGTCAGTACTCAGGTGGAGATTTGGGGAGAACTCTCTGGAGATCTCCGGAGCTTGCTCTCTTTTCGGCTCTCCTTTTCCTGGAACTCTGCCTCGTGAATTATGACCACTTGTGTTTCCCCAAATTGCAGGCTTTTCAGCTTGAGAAGACCACCACACTGCTGGCTTCCCCCTCCCTGACGGGCAGTTGAAAACTGGGTTTAGGTAGCAAGCTGGGAAAATTGTATAGCTTTGTTCATTTGTTTCCTCTCTCAGAGATCATTGTGATTCTATATTCCCATTGTCCTACATTTGAAAACCATTATATAATATATATTGTTTTGATTTCTTTGCTAGTGTAAGATAGAAGACTAAATCTGATGCCTGATATTCAACCTTGCCTTAAAACAGAAAAAAGCCTAATTCCTTTTGTTAATTTGCTTAGTTTCTGTGGCCTGGGTATGCTGTAGTATATCTAGCCATCCTCTTATTGGGTAACAATATTATGACAATGCTGCAAAATCTATACTGCTATGCATTTTCTTATATAGGGACCTTTAATTCTATGCAGTAAATAACTAACAGTGATGCCTTTGTTTTTTACAGAAAGATATGTGCTTTCTCTCAAAATTTTAATACTTAAAATTTCAGCAGCAAAAGGAGTACTGTTTTCTATTTGTCTACCATCAATAGACATGCTGTTCTCTTAATTTTTAAAAAATTTATGTGTAAAAAATGATTTCTCATATGTAACCTTGATTTGTATTTCATGGAAAGATGATCTTTTTCAAATGTTTCTAATTTTTTCCATTTATTTAGATCTTTAATTTCTCTATATTTGAAGCTTCAGTGCATAGATTTTAAAAAGATTTTGCTAATATTTCCTTAGGTTTTTAAAATTTTTGCAGCTATTTTAAATGTTACATTTTAAAAACTTAATTTTTGGAGTTGTTGCTCTCTATATAAATGTAGTTATATTTTAAAATATTGACCTTGTATTCAATGACCGTGCTTATTTTAAAATTATAGTTAAGAATTTATAAATTATGGGCTCATAATTATTTTGTCTTCAAAGATTGACAATTTTATTTCCTTCTTTCTAAATCTTAAACTCTCTATTTTCAGTTTTATTTTTCTGACAAGGACTTCTGGGAAAATGTTGACTAGAGCTGGTGATAGCTACTGTACTTGTCTTATTCCTGTTTAGGGGAAACACTGTCAATAATTCATTCTTGAATGCTATAGTCACTAAAAGGTTATTTTGTATCAGATAAAGATGTTTCTATTTATAGTGTTAACGTTTATGTATATATGTGTGTGTATGTATATGTATGTATATAAGTTAATCTGTTAAAATTTGGTGCATGCTTTTCAGAACATATTGTGATAATCATCATTGTGATACTCTCTTTTTTGTTTATAATAAAATGAACGATTTTTTCAAATATTAAACCACCCTTGTATTCCTGATGCAAACTTCATTTGACTGGTTTTATTTATGATTTCTTCCTGCATAATGGTATATTTGTGATATTTTTACCTAAAGGTCTATTCTCTAATGTTCTCACAGCGTCTAAGGAATCCTTTCTGGGCCATATTGCATTAAAAGGGGTGCATCCTTTGCAAAAAGTAAGGTTGAGGCTGGCCTGGACAGTGTAGCCCGGGGAGGCTGACCCCTGCATTCTTTATTTTTATACTGTGCTGGTCAGCTAGCCCCTCTGGGGTTACAAGAGTTTTACAAGAACAAGTTTACGATGAACAGTTCAGATGAACAGGAACAGTCTCTTTGGTATGCTATAATTCCATAAGTCTCTTAACTCAGAGCATTCTATGGTGCAGGCTTTTAAGAAAATAAATCCAGAGATATATTTCTGGAAGTACATGGAATAGGGTCAGAGTTCATTCTCTTTAGGCTTTACCTGCATATATAAAGTTTAAGTCAATACTGTCTGTTTTTCAAATATTTGGTTAAAATGTTGAGATTGCGTTTAGCTTCCACATCAGTTTTCACTAATATAATATTTTCATAATATTATCTTTTTGTCTAAAAAATGTTATCTCTTTTCACTTAATCAGAAGTCTTATAGTGTTTCATGGAGTTTTATGATGTTCCTCATACAAGTCCTGTTCTTTTCTTTTTAAATGTATTTCTACATATCTTGTATTGTCATTGTTAACTATGAGTAGAATATTTCTTATCATTCTATATTCAGGGTCTTATTGCTAAAATAAATAAAATAACTTAGAAGTATTTCTCTGTTTGAATTTACCTTGCTAAATTCTCTTATTGATACCTGTCTTTATTAAAAGAGAAACTCTTGGGGTTTCTGATTTTACAATTACATTATTGACAACACACATGGAGTGCTATCTCTACTTTTCTGTTGTATTTACTAGAAATTCTATTTTCTTGACTTGCACATTTGCTAGACCTATGAGATAATATTAGTCTAAGATAAGTAATATTATCTTACTAATATTTCCTCTAATTAGTAATGGTGACAGAATTCTCTAGGTAGTTTCTCATTATAATTAAAATAATTTTGTTGTTGGCCACTGAAGACATTATTTATTTTGAGGTAGGTCATTAATCTTTATTGTTTGTTTTTAACATTTTATTGAGGTTATTGGGAATGAATGACTATTTTTCACAGTCTTTTCAATATTTGTTTATATGATTCTATTATTTTACTCTTTAATTTGATCTTATTGACTATGTTGATAAGACTGTTAAGCCAAACTTCTATTCTTGGAAAGCTCATTGGTCGGGACACAGCATTTTTTTTTTAAGAATTGCAAATGCAATTGAGACATTTTAATTAGAATTTTGTATCTATGATCATGAGTGACATTGATCTATAGTTTTATTCTTTTTTCATCGTTCTTAACATTAGAGATATCTGGCATCATAAAATGAGTCAAGGAGTTGTTCATATTTTTCTAAAACCTGTGATATATGCAAGTGATGCGCAAATATTTATTCTTTAAAAATTAAATAAAATTAAGCGGTGGGGACACACACCCTGGTAGATTGTTTTCCTATCACTTTTACAGTTAATTTTGTGGGATAATCAACTTGTTCAAACCTTTTGCTTCTTTTACATTTTGGAGTTTTATTGTTTATGTGTTTCATCCTTCATTACTTGTTTGAAATTGTCCGTATTGTTTTAAATGACCAGAGGAGCAAGATCTTTGAATATTGTTAATGTTTAGAATTTTTATTATTCTTTTGGCAATATTCAGTTGATTTTTACTTGAACCTGAGGATTTTTCAGCTGGAATAATTTTTCAAAGTCATTTTTTCCTACTCTTTTATAGGTGAAATAGAGAATTTAATGAACTCATATACTCTTTCTATTACTCTTAGTCTGGAGTTGGGTTATCCTTCCCAGCTGAGTTTGGATTTAAAGCCCATAGAAACTGGGTTCTGTTTTTCTCACTCAGAGCCCACACTGCTGACTTGCAGCCATGGCAGTTTGGTTAAACATATGGTGGTACCTGTAACACATTTAATTCTGAACTCCTTTTCATTCTGTGCAGTCAGCATTGATCTAAGAAAATTCCCTTCTGAATGTGTTTTATTTCATCAAAATAGTTGCCTTTCCAGGTTGCCCATCACTCCATGATTATCAAAGGGCAGGATCAGACCTTGACATTGTGCAGCATAGACTACCTTGTAAATTTTCATTATTACCCTGACCACTCTTCTGAATGTGTGATCTTTCGAGCTGCTAAGAGATGTTATCCCTCCTGTACATTTGCCATGAGCACTTCCACTGTAGTTAAAATCTAAAAGCAGTTACTTTGTTAATGCTCAGATTACATCTTTAATTAAGCTTTCATTCCCACTAGCACAGACAACAATGACAAACATGTAAGCCCCAGGAGAAACCAAGCTCATTCTATAGGCTCTCATCCTTCAGTACATCCAGAAGAAACTTACAAGTAAAGATCTCCTGGGAATTTTCTAAGGGCATGCTGAATATCTAATTGTAAACTTAGAAGCTTCATTTAATTTAATTTCAAACCGTAACTTGAGTTAAGCCAATAAAATATGTTCATTGAGAGGATTTAGATCAAGAGCTTATTTTTCATCAGTGAGATTTTATTTCAAATATTTAGTGTTATCCATATGAAAGCAATTCATGGTTATCTGTGGAACTTAATGGTAAAGAAGTAAAAACGTCATTTTCTTTATCTGATTGACTGTTGAATGTATGCACAGTTGAACTATTAGAGCAAAGAACTGCCAAATGTACAAGAGAAGAACTTTTATCCACTTGACTTTATGTTTGTTTTTGCAGGATCATTTATTTATTTTGGGGCACATCAACCACCTGCAGTGGCCAAGCTTGGAAGTCCTGTTCTTACAAAATTAGTCACTGCCTCTACCCCATGTCAGGTAACCAATTACTGGAATTTTCATTGGCCAGTCTGTGGTTATAAACTGTTAGGCTTGGGTTGCTCCAGCTAGTAAATGCCTCCTATGTTTTACTACTATTTTCATGATGTATTGAGAGATTTATGTGAGCTATTTCAACAGGAAATGTCATGTCATTCCAAAAGACATTTACAGCATATAACTTGCACCGTTTGTTTGGGGGGCCTATTCAAAAATATTTCTATCATTTTGTATTCTTTCCATGTCGTTCTTTCAATAATTTAAAGCTGTGGATACACATTGCCCCAACTGCTTGTTATCTTGGCCAGAAATGTTGCTAATAATTGAGGAAAATAAAAGCAGTTTAACAAATTCTGTTGGAAAAAAGATGAAAGGATGAATAAATAAAGACAAATATGTGCAGGAAAAATAAATATATTTCCAGAATTTTATTTTTTCATTTAGTCCTTCTGGTGCCACTAGACACAGACCAAGGGGTAAAACACTCTGTTCATTCCCACAGCATAACAGAGAAAAAGGCAAGGGAACTTTGGAGTCAGATGAACCTGGTTCCAATTTCACTTCTGCCACAGATGATATGCTTTGAGACTCAGTGTCCACACTGGAATTGTAGTGTTAGTATATCTTCTTCACGTGGTTGTGAGAATTCAAATGTGATTAAATAAAGGATCTGGGAAAGTATTTGGGACATAGTAGGTGTTCAATAAACATAATCTTTCCATTTTTCCATAACACTAATGTCTTCATTAGAAGTTTCTATCCTTTTGAGAGTTCTAACTTGTCTCTGAACCTGTAGATTTCAGCTTTCTTTTTCTCCCTTTGCCTGTCAGAAAATAATGAAGGGGTCAGTAGTCCCACACACTAAATTCCTTGCCTGGAAATGCAGGGTCACAGAATTAATTCAGGCATTCCTGGTGATAAATTACAGATCATTCAGAGGTGTAAATTTAATTACACTTTAAGCTTGATATAAGCCTGACAGAGTGCCTGCAACTCTTAATAGATTGTCCTACTCTGTTTTTGTTTTTTTCTTTGTTTTTTTGTTGTCCATATCTTTGTGAGAATTTGAATTAAAACAGTGGCTTGAACTCTACCTCCATCTCACCTACTTGGACTCTAGACTCTCCCACCTTTGGTTTATTTTAATTAAATCTGATGTGATAGATATAGATTTTTCTAGAGAACTTGTGAAACATTTACTTGCTCTTTAAAAGCACTTTACAGACTTACTGTACTTTAATTCAAGATCACAAACCAAAGTAATGCAACTGCTGTTGTTAAATTCGTTAAAGACACTAGATAAAAAGCAATGGAATGTATTAATTCTGCCTCTTTTACAGAAGTATGAAAACTAACGTTAAGAACTTATTAGAAATTCTGAGACTCATTAAGAAATTATACAGCTTTCTTCTTTTTCAAGATGATTTGCATTTCCCATTGTTGTGTGTGGGTAGCCATTAATTTGTGGTCATTGGGGTTGACCCACAATTTATGATTGTTTCCACTTGAGGACATTTTTCTTTATTGTGGCTTAAATTTGAAGCTTACCTATGGGAGCTATTGGGGTGGAGCCTCAGTAAAAGCAATGAACAATTTAGATTCTTTGTTGTTTGTCTCTCAGAACAAAGTCCTCCATCTTTGTTCTCAGATGCTGATTTAGGGGCTTGCCTTGATTTGTGGAAAAATAAGAGGTTACAGACTGCCAGCAGAAGTCTTTGTTCCTTTTTAACTGCATCTGCTTGAATGTTAGGAATCTTTGAGTTAGAAGGATGAATATTTGGATTACTTCATAGTACTTTCCAGCTTAGAATTATTATTCGATTGTTATAGGTTATTCATAGTCTGAGATGCACATAGCTAAAGTTCTCTCCCAAAGGAGTATTCTAAGAATATACTATTACTTTTTTAGAAGTCTGTGGTAATGTGTGTTTCTTTCTTTCATGAAAGTTACAAAATAAGCTAACAGAACAAATTCTTATCTTCTTCAGTAACAAGAAAATACAGCTGATCTTCCTAATTGGAACCTATTGATCATAGCTATATTCATGTAATAGCAAATGCTCTTTGTAATAAAATAATAAAGTGAGGCAGCGAGATAACCAAAGTGGGGAAATTATGATTAAAGCTTTCATTTTATGAAATTATATGATTGTTTCTCTACATAATCATATCAGGCTAATACAGCTAAGAATATTTTTTTGAAAGGACTTTAAAGGAATATGAAGCTTTCTTTTGAAACTTTTTCTAACAGACTTTTAGGGTCATTTTGCGTGAATTACCTTGTACTTTATGTGTAGGCTACACATGTCATCGACATACAGAATTGGTCCTGCAACTATGCAGTATTCAAGGTGTGGACTTTTATTAAAAGCTTCAGAAGCTCCTTTAATCACTGGTGGAAATTTGGCATTTTTCCTTAGAATACCCAGGAGATAGGACACACAGAACACGTGGAAGCTAGAAGTTAGTATTTCTTATTGCTGTTGAAATATTGTTTTTAATAAATCAGGAAATACAGAATATGGAAGAGATTTGTGAAAATATTAATATTTTCTGAGCTCTCATATTTGAGTTACTGTTTGAAAGACCAAATATCTCACTTCACAAATACAGCAGGACCGATAACGTGAAGCTTCTGCTTTCAATGCTATTAATAGTTTATATGTTTGTGTTTTGTTTGTTCTAAATTCCCCAACACATATTTGCTATTCTAAGTCTTTAATTAAAAATTCTCAAAATTAAAAAAAAAAAAGTGAATGGGTATATCAGGAAAAAGATTGATGAGACAAAAGATAGACTTGTTTCAAAAATGAGATTTGAGGGCCAGGCTACATGTTTGAATCGAAGTATCCCAGCAGTCAGTGCAGAGAGACATGTGAGTCTTCATTTGGTTCAGGTTCAAGGAAGTCAAAAACAAAGAAAAATAGTTCTGAGACTTCTGAGGGCACACATACAAGTGTAAATGTTCTTTCTCTGACTTAGGGCACACCTGTTACTTCCATACTTCATGTGGATCCTAAAGGGACAATAGAAACACGTTTGTCGTAATATAGAAAGTATTTGCCAAAATGTAGAATTTACTGAAGGATACTAATAGCAGTTCAGTGTTAAGTGCTTCACAACATGATAAAAATATATGTAATACCACAGTGGGCAGCCATTCACTTCTCCAGAGGATCTTCCTGACCCAGGGATCGAGCCCAGGTATCCTGCATTCCAGACAGATTCTTTACCATCTGAGCCACCAGGGAAGCCCAATATGTAATATTATCTGTAATTATATGTAATGTACAATGTAACAACATATAAAGTAAACATATATAACATATATATATATAAAACATTTAACAATATAAAATGTAACAGTGATAACCCACTTGTAGCAACTCTCTCAATGAGTTTAAAAGGCCATGTTTTATCATGTTCCCCAAGTAGAGTGATGAAGTCTCATCAGAGAGAAATTTAGGAAATTTTCAGCAGGGCTTGAAATGGTGCAATCATGCTTTGTTGCTTGCTTTCTCTACTCCAAGGATAGTGTTAGATCATGTTAGAGATCCTGGGGTTCCCCAGTGGTGCTGGTGGTAAAGAACCCACCTGCCAGTGCAGGTTAGATGTAGAAGACTGGGGTTTGTTCCCTGGGTTGAACTAGAGTGGGTTGCCATGTGTTCTTGCCTGGAGAGTCCCATGGACAGAGGAGCCTGGCAGGCTGCAGTCCTTCGGGACACACAGAATTGGACACAGCTGAAGTGACTTTGCATGCATGCATACATGTTAGATATTCTAGAGGAAGCAATGGATTTTGGGGAAAGGTTGAGCAGATATTCTTTCTTATTGGACATGGTCAAAACACACCCAGATTAATCATTTAGATGAGAAAAGATTATATTTTATTGAAGACTGCAAACTTCTACTTAAGCTCATTCAGATAAAAAAGTCAGGCAAAAGCATGATTATGACTAGGAGTCATAAGAATCACTATAGTAGTAGTAGTGTTAGTCACTTAATCATGTCCGACTCTGCGACTCTATGGACAGTAGCCCACCAGGCTCCTCTGTCCATGAGATTCTCCAGGGAAGAATACTGAAGTGGGTTGCCATGCCCTTCTCCAGGGGATCTTCCCAACCCAGGGATTGAACCCACGTCTCTATGCATTGTCTGTGATGCAGTTGACTGGCGTTTAATCCCCAGGTCAGGAAGATCCCCTGGAGAAGGGCGTGGCAACCCGCTCCAGATTTCTTGTACTCCAGTATTCTGGTAATGATAAAGGGGGATGTATGAGAGAGAGAGAGAGAGAGAGAGATGAATGCTCCCCCTCTACTACATGGACTTATTCCCAGCTGAGTTTTGAGGAGTTACAGATATCTTGTTTCTTTCTCTTTTTTTGGTGTGTGTGTATTTTATTTTTTGTCTTATTCTGGATCTTGAAGATACAAACAGGTGTTGAAAACACCAGACAGGGGTTGATGTTTGTGGCCGAGAAAGCAGAGATAACTGTGCATTTGGAGAAAATGAGAAAAGACATGAAGATTTGACCAATAAGCTCCCTCGTAGGGAAGCAAAAGGAGTCAAGAGCTTAAGAAAGTTGAGGAAAAAAGCAGAAAATCTGAAGAGTAGAGTTCCGATTGGAGACAAACCCAAATCAAATGAAATAGCAAAGAGAAATAAGGAAGACATTATTTTGAGCTTCTAAATAATGTCCTGTTAGGTCTGTTACTAATAAGCAACTCCTAGTTGTTCCTAATCACATTCTTTTGTAGAGAATGGCCTTTCCTCTGGGAATATCACAGGGCACTGTAGAAATAGAATAGCAAGGTTAGTTATTCCGCCTGCACTCAGTAACTAATAGTATACGTCATTTGATAAGATGTCCTTTATTTTTAAAAATGAATGATTCAGTATTTAAAAAATATATACAAATAATATAAAATCAGAGAATACAATTAAAAATGTAAAGTAATTTGATTTTCATTTCTTTTCTCTCCAGTTTGCAATTAAAGGAATTGCTTTGTTGCAAGCTTTTTAAAACACATGAAATTCTCTTGAATAAATTGTTTCAGTGTCTTGCATAGTCACTCTGTACATACAATCCAAGTTGTGGATATACAACTTACTGAAAACCCAGAAGAAATAAAAGCTAGCCTTTAGTATTAACATTTTATATAACTGCTTTTTTTTTTTCCTTTGGCAGAGGGGCACACCAGGTCTTAGTTCCCTGACCAGAGATTGACCTCTTGCCCCTTTCATTGGGAGCACAGAGTCTTAACCACTGAACCACCAGGGAAGTCCCTATATCCCTGCTTTTTAGTGAATCAGACATAAATCAAGATAGTAGTTTCCTTTAAATGATAGTTAATAAATAACATTTTAAATGGTTGATATCATTTAAATATGGGTTTCCCTGGTAACTCAGTGGTAAAGAATCGGCCTGCCAGTGCAGGAGATGTGGGTTTAAACCTTGGGTGAGGAAGATCCCTTGGAGAAGGAAATGGCAAGCCACTCCAGTATTCTTGCCTTGGAAATCCAATGGAGAGAGGACCCCGGTGGGCTGCAATCAGTGGGGCCACAAAGATTCAGACATGACTTAATACTAAACAATAAGAACAGCAACATCATTTTAATATACATGCTTGGTGGTTATTCTTAATAGAATTTTGTGTGATGAAAATTGTCTTCTGCATCCACTAAGGAAGTCACTAGCTACAAATAGCTACTGAGCATTTAAAATGTGATGATAAAAAAAAAAAAAAAAAGATAAAAAAAAAAATAAAATAAAATGTGATGATAACAGAGAGTGAATTTTTTGTTTTGTTGAATTCATGTAAATTTACATGTAAATAGCCACCTGTTTTCATATGCTTGTCATTATATACTTAATTGTTCCTTTTTGTTCTCTCCCATAAAACTTTGAGGTCCCTAAGGACACCTGATTCCTTGTACATTTTATAATACATGGCGGGGGTGGGGGGCAGTTCTCTCTTTATCACTCTCTCTGAAAGTCTTTAGACATTTATTTATATTTCTTTATTTTTGGCTGTGCTGGGTCTTGGTTGCTTTGTGGGAGCTTTCTCTAGTTGTGGAGAGTAGAGGCTACTCTTGGTGGCAGTGTGCAGGCTTCTTGTGGTGGTGGCCTCTCTTGCGGAGTGCAGACTCCCGGCACACGGGCTTTAGTTGTCGAGGTATATGGACTTAGTTGCTCCATGACGTGTGGAATCTTCCTGGACTAGGAATCGAACTTGTGTCCTCTGCATTGGCAGAGGGATTCTTATGCACTGTACCACCAAGGAAGTCCTGTAAACATTTACTTTAACACTAATGCTGATAGTCCTACTCAAACTTCCTTCTTTTCTTTAGTACCTATTAACTGCTGCTGCTAAGTCGCTTTAGTCGTGTCCGACCCTATGTGAACCCATAGACAGCCCACCAGGCTCCCCTGTCCCTGGGATTCTCCAGGCAAGAACACTGGAGTGGGTTGCCATTTCCTTCTCCAATGTATGCAAGTGCAAGTGAAGTCGCTCAGTCGTGTCTGACTCTTAGAGACCCCGTGGACTGCAGCCCATCAGGCTGAGTGGGATTTTCCAGGCAAGAGTACTGGAGTGGGGTGCTATTGCCTTCTCTGCCTATTAACTGAATACCTACTAAATACAAATTGCCCTATTTGGTTCTATGAGGAATTGATGACGTTCATTGTGATTTTCCAGGGATTTTCCAGGCAAGAGTACTGGAGTGGGGTGCTATTGCCTTCTCTGCCTCTTAACTGAATACCTACTAAATACAAATTGCCCTAGTTGGTTCTATGAGGAATTAACGACGTGCATTGTGATTTTGAGTTCATGACATAAGGTTATACTACTAATGTGTATTACAGTGGGAACCACAGATGTTGACTACGTGTCTGTGTAAAGTCATTAACTTTTGTACAGTATTTTCACCCTGACCAGTATTAAGTTTGGAAAGACTCTGGGAGGTTTCTTGGTCTATACCAAAGTAAAGAATTCTCCTCAAGGAGGTTTCTTGGTCTATACCAAACTAAAGAATTCTCCTCAAATTTCTATAATGCCAATTCACTTTTAAAAAAGTAAATTAAATGTGCAGTTCTAAGCTCTTATCCAATTGAATATGGATCCCATTAGTATTTACTCTTCATGCACTATTAACTTTGCACGGGTAATGTACTGAGTGACAGTTTGAGAGCTTGAAATTCTGGTGTGGCATGCACAACTCTTCAACTAGGTTTAAAGCTCTGTTTCGCATATTTACAAAGTTGGAACATGCTGAAACTATAGCAGGGATCTAAAATTTAATTGTGGTAGGGGACCGTATAGCCTCCCTTTCCACAGAATTTAGTTAAACACTTCCATTTGACTTGATGTTTCTTGGCTTGCCTCAACACCTGAGTGTAGGTGAACTTGGTGGTAAAATCTGATATGAAATGGATGATCAGAAAGAATGCTTTGACCAAGTGATGGCAATTCAGCAGGCACTGAAAAAAATGTGTACCACATTGAAACAGAGAATGCTTGATGTTTCAAACAATTTTTTATTTTTATTTTTTTGTTAACCTCATCACCATTTATTGAGTTGTGAACTGTTGCCATCACTGCTGAAATCTGAGACTCACTCATCCTGATCCTCCTCTCAGCTTCCCCTTGAAAAGGAAGCCTGGAGAAGGACCACCCCAAACACCATAGGGTAGAAGGGAAGACAAGGGCCGGGTGGGGCAGGGGGGAGATGCAGGGAGATGAGGGGCGGGGAAGGCAGCAGGACCAGCGTGCGGGGACACACACGTACTCCCACACACACACACAGGCAAAGACCAGGGGTGTCCATCTCTGCTCCAACCAGCGGCCTTGAGAACATCAGGGAAGGGCCAGGTGTCCGAGAGACATTTCAGCCCTTCCTGTCATGAAGCGACTGCCGGGAAGGGCTGGGCCACAGTTACTGGTCTTTGCCTTCAGGGCACATCAGGCCTGAGCCAAAGCAGCTTTGATGGCGGCCACCAGCTTCAGAAACTTGCTCTCCGTGTCCACGTAGCCATCCCCTCCCTTCTTGGAGTGAACCAGCTTTCCTGTTACGAACACTTCAAAGAAGCCGGTGACCTGTGGAGTCCCCTCGCCGCAGATGTCCAGACGGCTAGGGAACTCATCTTCTAACTTCTCCTTGAGCTGAAGATACTTGGGCTTGTAGCCTCAAGCGCCACAATAAACCACCCGGACGACTACCGCCATCGCTCCGAACCGCGGTGCCCGCTGCTGCGCGGACTCGCGATTCGCACCCGGGCGAGGCAGGGCGAGATCTGCTCAAACAGTTTTTTAGAAGACATTACACATTTTTTTCAACTTTCATCTCCACTGAAATTGGCACCCACAATGACATAAATGGGATAATAAATAAGTAGTAATGTGTATAATAATGTCTGTCCATGCAACAAGGTAAAAGTCCAATGATGAAGGGGAAAAAAATGCAGGAATTTAAAATGTAGTGAGACTTAAAGGAGTCACTTTGAGTCAAAAGAGAATGATTTCATTTCTCAGGAGCCTCATCTCTGAACAATGCTCTGTTTGTCTTTGAAACATGAAGTATTAGAACTCAGTAAGAAAAAATTGCTGTTGTGTCTGAACTTGGTTTTGTGGGGTTATTTTCCTTGATATATTTTGTATTATATCATCCAAGCACTGAGGCAATTAATTTTCAACTTGCCTTGTGTCCAGTCCTTAGTAAATGGTCAGTAAATATTGGTTGAGTAATGATAGCGCTGAATTCCATGTTATAGCTGCAGCTGTCGGCACCTAAAATAATCCTCTCTGTTTTCTCCACTACCTTGTTAACCTGTCAGTTCTTTAGACTGTGTCACCATTGATGGTGAATAGGAAACAAAGTGATCAAATCTAGGCTCCCTAACCTCAAAAAGAACATTTTCTAGTTAGATTAAATTATTGATAAACAGTATTATATGATCTCCCAAGGTTTTTGATAATGTCACAACAAAGAAGGAATTAATGAAAAAGTATTCCTTGCAGTCTTCTTTTACTTGAGAAAATTTTGAAGACATCAAAGAGAATGAATAGTAGTATGTGATTTTGTAATTTGAGTCAGATGTAGAACATGTGTCTTCCTAGAGTCATAAGAAGCAAGAAAGCAAGAGAAAAGGGTCCTAAAATGTTCCCTAGTGGTGTAGACAAATATTTATTATACCTGTCTGAGCAGGATCCTTGTGTCTCATGTCTTTAGACAACTCTATAGCATGTGTTTAAAATACCAGTTAATGTAACTGCCTTGAGCCTTTTCTTAAGCAGGGACCACAAAGGCTGGCAGAAGATGTACTTAGCATTTTCTGAGTCTACATATTTGGAGGAGAATTAAGAAGATGATATTGAACACCAAAGTAATTTTGGGTATTTTTAATTATAGAAGATCTACTGTGCATAAGTAAATGGAATTAATATCACTCAAACACATTTTTCACCAGGTGCGGTTTTGGTATCATTTGTCTCAGCATTCACGTCTCTCACTTTTTACAAGAACATCTCTGAATGGGGATTTGCAGAAGCACAGTGATCTGATCGGAATCTCTGAATCTCAGTGGCAACAAGCAAAAATCAATCTCATTGCAAAGGCTGGAGAATCTACTCTCCCTTTTCAGGTAAGCACGTAAAAGATGAATACAACTCAGAAGATGCTTGTTTAATGCTGATCTTCCCAGGCAACAGTAGAACACATATGCCCTATAAGTTTATCTGATATTAATAAAGCCAGCATATTCACAGTCAGGGATAAGTAGAGAGGTTATTTTGACTAAGTACTCATGACTTAACCTGTGGAAGCAGAGCAAAAGTGGAGGTACAGATTGAACAGGATGGCAGAGAGAAGAGAAATGTAATGGGAAACTGTTTTTCCTAAATAAGCATGGCAGAGTACGTGAGGTAGTGAAAAATATCTGAGTTGCACTCCAATTTGCTGTCCATTAATAATGAGAATTTTATCACACTTTTATGTCATTTTCTTGGTTAAATAATGAGAGAAGGAAACTGTAGCTTATCAGGTGATGCCCCAGCTTCCACCCTTCTGGACATGACTCCCTTCTGGATGATGTTTGAAAAGAGCTAGTTTAGTAACTAGATTGGATGGTGAAATTAGAGGAACACTCACTGCCATCAGTCAGCTGGTCTGAGTTCCCATCTCTGCTTAACCCAAGTATTGCTAAGTGACAGTATACATTATGCCTTCGAGCTTCAGATTTCCCAATCTGTGAAAACCACAGTGATAATAAAAGCAATATTTGGGGAAGCTGAGTATTAAAGAAAATGTAGCTGAAATGGTAGCTGTGAAGATGGGCTCTTTAGCTTGGAGTTCAAACCCTGGTGTATAGTCAGAGGGAAATTGCTTAATCCTTCCATGCTTCTGATTTTTTCTCTATAAATGGGTGCATGAATGTAAGATTGTTGGGGTGTTTGAAGCCTCTGAAAAATAACACACCTCATCTGCTACTCACTTCCTAGCTGAGGCAAATATAGAAGTCAAACAGGGAGAAGAAACTATTTTGGAGAAGCTGCCTTTAGAACCTCCAGGTATATATTTAAAATAGGGACTTCCCTTGTGGTCCAGTGGTTAAGAATCTGCCTGCCAATGCAGGGGACATGGGTTTGATTCCTGGTCCAGGAACTAACATCCCACTGGCCACAGGGCACCTAAGTCTGTGCTCCACAACAAGAGAAGCCAATGCGATGAGAAGCCTGAACAAGGCAAGTAGAGATGAGCCCCCGCTCTTCATAAGTAGCAAACACCTGTATGCAGCAATGAAGATGTAGTGCAGCCAAGAAATAAATTAATATTTTTTTTAAATTTAAAATAATCCTGCAACTTTACTGTATTCATTGATTAGCTCTAGTAATTTTCTGGTAGAGTCTTTAGGGTTTTCTATGTAGAGGATCATGTCATCTGCAGAGAGAGTTTCACTTCTTCTTTTCCTATCTGGATTCCTTTTACTTCTTTTTCTGCCCTGATTGCTGTGGCCAACACTTCCAAAACTATGTTGAATAGTAGTGGTGAGAGCGGGCACCCTTGTCTTGTTCCTGATTTCAGGGGAAATGCTTTCAATTTTTCACCATTGAGGGTGATACTTGCTGTGGGTTTGTCATATATAGCTTTTATTATGTTGAGGTATGTTCCTTCTATTCCTGCTTTCTGGAGAGTTTTAATCATAAATGGATGTTGAATTTTATCAAAGGCTTTTTCTGCGTCTATTGAGATAATCATATGGTTTTTATCTTTCAATTTGTTAATGTGGTGTATTACATTGATTGATTTGCGGATATTAAAGAATCCTTGCATTCCTGGGATAAAGCCCACTTGGTCATGGTGTATGATTTTTTTAATATGTTGTTGGATTCTGTTTGCTAGAATTTTGTTAAGGATTTTTGCATCTGTGAAAAGACATCCCTCAGATTGGGAGAAAATAATAGCAAACGAAGCAACAAAGGATTAATCCAAAAATATACAAGCAACTCCTCCAGCTCAACTCCAGAAAAATAAATGACCCAATCAAAAAATGGGCCAAAGAACTAAACAGACATTTCTCCAAGGAAGACATACAGATGGCAAAAAAACACATGAAAAGATGCTCAACATCACTCATTATCAGAGAAATGCAAATCAAAACCACAATGAGGTACCATTACATGCCAGTCAGGATGGCTGCTATCCAAAAGTCTACAAGCAATAAATGCTGGAGAGGGTGTGGAGAAAAGGAAACCCTCTTACACTGTTGGTGGGAATGCAAATTAGTACAGCCACTATGGAAAACAGTGTGGAGATTTCTTAAAAAGCTGCAAATAGAACTGCCATATGACCCAGCAATCCCACTTCTGGGCATACACACCGAGGAAACCAGATCTGAAAGAGACACGTGCACCCCAATGTTCATCGCAGCACTGTTTATAATAGCCAGGACATGGAAGCAACCTAGATGCCCATCAGCAGACAAATGGATGAGGAAGCTGTGGTACATATACACCATGGAATATTACTCAGCCATTAAAAAGAATTCATTTGAATCAGTTCTAATGAGATGGATGAAACTGGAGCCCATTATACAGAGCGAATTAAGCCAGAAAGATAAAGACCATTACAGTATACTAACACATATATATGGTATTTAGAAAGATGGTAACAATAACCCTATATGCAAAACAGAAAAAGAGACTCAGATGTATAGAACAGACTTGTGGACTCTGTGGAAGGAGCCAAGGGTGGGATGTTTCAAGAGAACAGCATTGAAACATGTATATTATCTAGGGTGAAACATATCGCCAGCCCAGGTTGGGTGCATGAGACAAGTGCTCGGACTTGGTGCACTGGGAAGACCCAGAGGGATAGGGCGAAGAGGGAGGTGGGAGGGGGGACCGGGATGGGGAATACATGTAAATCCATGGCTAATTCATTTCAATGTATGACAAAAACCACTGCTATGATATAAAGTAATTAGCCTCCAACTAATAAAAATAAATGGAAAAAAAAAAAAAAGAGTGAACAATAAAAAAAAATAAAATAAAAAAAAATAAAATAATGCTTCACCTCAGAATAAACAGCCCCACCCAGAGAACAACCAACTGCTAGGGAATCCAGGACTCGACCTTTGGGGAAACCATCTTATCATGAGTGATTATGATATATCAACGTTGCCTCCTCAGCTGTAACAAATGCCCCCCTCTGATGGGGGGTGATGATGATGGAGGAGGCCATGGATGCTTGGGGTCAGGAGGTGTGTGGGAACCCTCTGCACCTTCCTCTCAACTGTGCTCTAAAACTGTCCCTAAAGGTACTCTAAAATCTTAATAAAAAACAAAACCCAAAAACCAGAATGTCCTTCCTTTGTTGAAAGTGACTCTTTGAGAAATATTAGCAGTTGAAACTCATACTGTTCTTTCTGGGCTTCATTAACCTGCCACTATTATTAAAGAGTTTTAGTGTAGTGTAGGTTTTGGTTTTTTTTTTAAATTATTTTTTCTTTGAGGATTTTTGTCTTTGTTTTGCAGTGAAAATTGAGATTGCTCTTTATTATCTGGGGACATATTAACTAGTTTGTGGATTGATCAGGGTTTGATGAGATTTTGTAATTTGGCAGCCACGATGTTTTCTTAAGCAGCTGCACTCCCGTGCTCTCTTTTTCCCTCACTCCCCTCCGTGGTGAATCAGCAACCTGTTCGGGTTTTTCTCTCTCCTAACCTGAGGGTTCCCAGTCAGCACCAGTCAGCCTCTTTTTTTTTTTTTTAGTATATTTTTGGCTGCGCTGTGCGACATATGAGATCTTAGTTTTCCAACCAGGGATCAAACCTGCTCCACCTGTCCTGGAAGCACAGAGTCTTAACCACTGGACCACTAGGGAAGTCCTAGGCTCTTCTTAATTGTTCTGGCTTTTGAGGGGAGTGAATGGCCCTGGGTTCTTGCTTTACGCTTCAGCCGTGTTTAATTAGCCCCTGAGAAGGTAAGGGTTTTAGCCTGTGCCTCTGCTCCTTCTCATGTCATCCTGATACTTGGCTGTAGTAAAGGCTTGTTTTAGAAACTATAGCCAGTGAAAAGAAAAATAAGAACTGTTTTCTCAGATTTCACCATTCAGAAGGCTATTATAGGTCCACCATCTCTAAGCAGCAATTTAGAAAGTTAAAATTTGGAAAGCAATACGGTTTTGAAAAACAAATTTAGAGGCAAAGTTTAACCTGACCTGAACCAGTGTTAAGCAGTTCATTTAGTGATGGGTTTGATGATAGAGAGCTGCCCTCGGTCTCTCTGAGGGCATCATGATAGATTTAAGATGAACATCCTCAACTCTGAACTGTTCAGATGTCAAATCCTAGTTGGACTCAAAGACTGTGGGTAAGGAATTGGGGTCTGTGTAACATCCTGGTGTGAAGCAGTGCAGATTTTATACACATTTTATAAGATAGATAAATACACAGACACACATACATGATGTATTTTTATTGAATACATTAATATTATTTAGATTCATTATTAAATCTTTCAAACAAGTAGAAAGTACACAGAGAGGCAAACACCCATGTACTTAAACTTCAGAATGAATTAATATGAACATTTTCATTTGCTTGTATTGTTGATATGTTTGTTTCTAAAAACACGGCTTTTGTCCTCTTGGTACCCTTTTCTACTCCATTTCTTATCCTCTACAAGAAACAAAAATGCTAAAATTATGTTGTTTTTAACCTGATTTTTCTAAGTGTATTTTCAAAGTTACGGAAATATGCATGAGGAGTCTAGCTAGATGTAGTTCTACTTCATTCTTTGGTCAACAGCAAATAGAAAAGATATTATACCTACAAAGAGTCAATCTAGCTCTTACATATTCCAATAATTAAAGTTCATCTTCTTGGAAACAGACTCCTTTGGCACTTTAAATTTAGTGGACTGAAGTATTTAAGGGTGACCTTCGTCATTGCCTGACCATCAGTTTAATGTGGCTAAGCATATATTTGTACAGTTATCTAATCCAAACATTGGAAAGGAGAAAGACATGAACTGTGTGACCACTCTGTTCTCTTGTAGCCATGACATTCAGATTCAATGTGGTCGTTTTATGTTTCTTGCGCACATCGCAACAGAATGTAAATTGCTCTGATTTCTTTAGGAAATCAGTGCCTGGGTTAGGTAGGGCTTTCAGTCTTCTGGTAGAAATGGATTTGGCTTACTGTTTGTTTTGCAAGAACAGCAAATTAGCATTTTAATATTCTCTCCATTGTCTTTGCAGTTTTTACTGGAAGAATGTAAGTCACATAGTTCACATTAATCATATTTTTTTTCCGATCTGTTTTAACTGTTCCTACTCATTTTAAATATTCAGCTTTTTACACAAATATATTCACTTAATTTGCAATTTGTTTCCTAACTCTTCTTCTTAATTTCATATCTAGAGGTGGTACTTTTTCTGAATGCTGTTTATTGATTTCAGGTTGACCTGCTGTCTTTGAGTTTGCTACTAAAGCATAATTGTGTCACATTTAGATTTTGTTTTAAAATGACCCTTTTGTGGAATTTTCTACAATAATTCATACCATTTTCACTCTTGATCAGTGTTGATGGTGTGAATCAATAACAATTTCCTGATGTTATTTGAGGATTCAGTGAAGGGTAAGATATATAATGCAAAGTAAAAGCTGGTCCGGTCTCTGTAATGTTGCTATGTCCTTGGCCTTCTTAGTCTAGGACTTCATTAAATCTTCTTTTGCCAGGTAGCTCTATCCTCCAGCATCTCTGAAGACCAGTTACCTCTTATTTCATGGTAGTGATGATGTTCAGCCTAATCACGCATGGCTCAGGTCACACATTTTTCTTACTCAAAATGTGACCTTCAACCAATAACTTCAGTTCTCTAAGCTCTGTTTCCTTTGCTTTAAAATGTGGATGAAAATAGCACTGTCTTCACAGGGTTAAAATAAGTGAATGTATTTTAACTTATTTAGCTTACTCCAAGCCTGGCATGTGAAAAAAAAGCATCCAAGCTCTTTAGTAAAAGTTTGCTGTTGATCTTATTTTTAACACCACCATCATTGTTTAAAAATTACTGTTGTCCAGTTTTTCTTTATTTTTTCTTACCATATTCCCATAGTCTCCATTTCCTCTTAGATTCATATTCATTCTTATTATCCTTTGTTTAAAACAAGATATCAAAGAACTAAAATTTAAATATGCTAGTTGAATATTTCTCTGGAAAACCTCTCAGTTTTGCAGATGTAAAAAGTAATCACTTGACTGTAAACAATATTTACCATTGCCGTGCTTCCTGAAAGCAAAAATAAGAAATGATTCTGCTCACTCAGGGAATAATATAATATAATTGATTAAAACAAAACTCAGCAAGATCCTAAAAAATAGTTTTAGAAGGAAAGATATCTACATATAATTAGAAATTTTAGCTCTCAAGTTACCTTCAGAATCTTCTTAAAATTAGGTTTTTCTGTTTGCCTTTTTGCATGGTTGAAGCATCTCTTCTGAGCAACCTCTGGCTCACACACTAATTATTAACTGATACTGTAGTTCTCAGGGGGAACTGCCTTCAATGACAAATCGAAAGATCAGCTTGATTTAAAGCAAGTAAAACAAAATAGAAACAGTGAAGATGATTTTGGCACAATCAGGTGATATTATTTACAGATATGAGATATATATTTTTAAAGGAATTTTAACTTTTTCTCTACTTAAAATTGGAGGATTTTAATTAATCCAGATCAAATTGTAACTGTTCATCACATAGTCTTGCATTTAATTATATAGAGGAAAGCAGGCAAAGGTATAGATGACCTGAAACTGAAGTTTAGTATTAGTGAAGTGAAGTCGCTCAGTTGTGTCCAACTCTTTGCAACCCCGACAGTCTGTAGACTGTCGCCTACCAGACTCCTCCATCCATGGGATTTTCCAGGCAAGAGTACTGGAGTGGGTTGCCATTTCCTTCTCCCTCTCTACTAAAACTTTTTTCCAAATTCTGTCTCACATTCTTGGCAGAAGTAATGAAGTGCTTTTCTTTGATTCTCTTAGAATCTTATGCATATTTCTTATATAGCACTTATGGTATAGTTTATGTCAATGTGTCTTACCAAGTTAATTTTAAGATCTTTGAGCTCAGAGATCCTCCCTGATAACATGGAGATGCAGTTACTAGCCACTTGCTAGCCTAGACTAGTAGTGGTCCTGCTATGTGTTGTTAAGACTCTGCACATATTTTTTCTCTTTCTTTCTTTCTTCTTTTTTTTTTTTTTAAAGATTGTGGAATAACAATATAATGTGAGTGATTAATAAGAAAGAAAACAAATTATATTAGTCATTGTTTAGAAAGTTAGAATAAATTAAACTTAAGTAGATGCTTCCAAGTGCTTTAGCATATGAATGTTATTAACTGCTGTGTTTTTTTGCCTCACTAAGTAGGTTTCCATATATGTATATATAATCTATATAAGTTTTTAAATATTCTGATACATAAATGAATCATTGCCTCCAGCAGACACATTATAAATTAACTCATATCTCAATTAAATTGAGTTGTAAACCACAAAGTTGATTACCCCAAAGAGCTCATTTTAAATGCTTATAACTCTTAATGGCTCCAGTGGGAAGGCCGCCCTTCAGCTGTGATGAATGTTGCAACTTCTAATTGAAACAAGGTTACCTAGGATATTAAGGTTGCATAAGGTGCTGTCAAAGCAGTTATGACTTTATAAATCCCTAATTTGAATTTTCTGATCAAAACAATTTTCTAAAATTAGGTTGGAAGATTGGGACATATGCAAATGAACTTCTCTAGACAAAGAAATATGATTGTAATACATTTACTTTTGTTAAAAAATGATTAAGGAAGATAGTTTAGGGGGTACAAACAAGGTTTATTCAACATTTCAAGAAGCAATCTCTAATTTGGAGAGATGCAAAATGGGGTGGAAGGCAAGAAGCTTTATAGGGTAAAGAATAAAAAATGAGGAAGAGATAAAACAAAATATTCAGTTGGTTGAGGCCTCATAGTCAACCTTATTTGGGTTGAGAAGGAATAAGGAAATATGGAGTCCAGAATTGGCTTGAAGTCTGGGGACTGACTGACTGAATATACTGTGTTTCTGATCAAGAGGAGCAGTTAAAGGCATGAAAGTTACTTAAGTTTTGAGTTGCTGTCGTGGCACCCAGGGCAGGAATGGCTCCATCTTGGGCCTAGAAATTTAAAAAAAAAAATGTTTATAGTATATTTCTAATAATTTATCTTTCTATAATTTTAGTTAATTTTGGAAGCTACAGTTTTATCATCAAATGCTACTGTTGCTCTAGATGACATCAGTGTATCCCAGGAATGTGAAATTTCATATAAGACACTTCCAGGTACTAGTGTGCAAAGCAAAGGTAAGTTTTTTCTTTTTTTCCTTATGGTTGTTGCAATTTTGAACATTGAAATGGTTTTCTTTGATATCAAAATATCAAAATATATGTATATATTTTAAGTTTTTGATATGGACCATTTTAAAAATCTTTCTTGAAGTTGTTACAATATTTTTCTGTTTTGGTTTTTGGCTGCAAGGCATGTGAGATCTTAGCTTCCTGACCAGGGATGAAACCCTCCCCTGCTGCATGGGAAGGCAAAGTCTTAACCACTAGACCACCAGCAAAGTTCCTGAAAATATAAAATATATTAGAATCTTTCATTAATATAGTTCACTAATACCAGGATGTGGATTATGTCACATGTCTGTGAAAACGAAAACATTTCTTTTTTCCCCCCAAAAAAAAGGTAAAAATGCGGTCTATCACAGTCTAGGCCCGAGGCTATCCTCTAATAACATTGTATACTTGTGGCTAAAATTGTCACATACAGATTATTTAATTATAATAGTTACGAAAGAATTTTAAATATTTTGCATGTTTAAAAATACCTCTCTATCAATAAATTGTAATTTAATTTTGTTTGATACTTCAAGTGAATATGTAATTAAATTCATGTTTCAGAATCACTCAGGCGTTCAAAAAGAGTATTGTTGAGAAAAGTGACTTAAGGCCAAAGAAGAATTTCAAACTTGACCCTAAAATTATGTGTTTAAATTCATTGACTACATATTTTGTAGAGAATTTCAATTGAGAGAAAGATATACTGTCATAAAAATGGATCCCAAATAATAGGATAGGCATTTTTGAAAACCTCTCTGTAATATATGGGCTTCCTTGGTGGCTCAGTGGTGAAGAATTCACCTGCCAATGCAGGAGACTCAGGTTTGATCCCTGGGTGGGGAAGATCCCCTAGAGAAGGAAATGGCAACCCACTCCAGTGTTCCTGTCCGAGGAACCCCATGGACAGAGGAGCCTGGGGGTCTATAGCCCATGGGGTCTTTGTGAGAGTCCCTTGAAATGGGTATAAATTGTGCCTGCAGTTACTTTGTTATTTTAACCCTGGTTGAGGTTTCTCTCTGACCACCCCTTTCCTCAGGTCTCACTTAAGAAACAAAAATGAAGATTAAAAATGTTTCTGAAAATTGTCACACTTCATTTTATTAATCTCTTTACATGAAAAATAATTGCATGTGGACATCAGGCATGTCATACATTCTGAAGTTATGTTTTCTTACATGACATATCTAGTGAGAGAAGTTAAATTCTTAAAAGGAGCTAAGTGCATTAATTAAGGATGATATAGGAGAAACTATTTTAAATTGAGATCTGAGTTAAAGAACTTTTCACCAAGGATCCTTTATTAAAGGTATCTTTCATTGGGGAGGCTGTGTATTCTATGTCCTAACTGTATTGTGTTAACATGCTTTTACATTATTCAGAATGTGTGTCCTGACTTTACAATAAACCATTCTAAGCTGTGTGTAGTGTGTGTGGGGGGGTGGGGTGGGGGTGGGGATTTTGATAGACATTACAGAATGCAAAGCAGCAGATTTATGATTAATGAGTTTTGGAGGGTTAACCAGAATTACCTTATTTCTGTTAATTAATTAAACATTTTCCTTCTCCTAATTAAATGCTGCATCACCAGAATTGGAATAGTAGGAAGGTATTAGAGTTGACATTGAGGGTGGTGTATTTGGAAGCAGAAGTGGTTAAAGGTTTTTAATTATCAGTAAAATTAACCTTAGTAGAAGTCTCTGAGAATACTTGATCTCACTTACAGAGAATTCTCTTTATAAATTAACTCAGAACTCATTTATGTGTGCTTCAATTGGCACACCAGCTCAGTTGGTTAGGGCATAATTCTCATTAGGCCAAACTTACGTGAATTATTCCTGAAAGACCAATGATTTTACACAAAGGAAAAAACTTTCTTACCATGTGTACAAATTTATCCAGTAGGCAATCATAAGATCTCCTTCATGGACTTCAGTATTTCCACCGAGCAGGAGTTTAGGGATGGGAGGAGAAGGGGACTTGTCAAGTCCTACTTACGGTGAATTATGTTATATTTATGGCCAGAGATTTATTGAGGCCCTATGCTTGCCATGTTTAGCTCATTTAAAAACTAGTGTTCATGAAACAATCACACATTCCATCTATTTGTTGGAAGAGAAAAAGATGTTTTATCCTCTCCATCTCTTCATTTGAAGCAGGACTTTTGCCACATGAGGACGCAGGCTGGACTTCATCCAGCAGGGTGTATGATTTCACATCTGACTGTCCAGATGGAGCAGAAGAAGCTAACTGTGGTGAGTGAGAGTCTAGACTCACTCGACCAAGATCTGTGGGTACATATTTACTCTCTGAATGTTAAGTGCATGCTACTTAATTAATGAAGAATGTTTCTTTTTTTGTTATTAATATTTTAAAAATATTTTTATCGAGGTGTGATGAATGTATAACATTATATTGGTTTCAGACATACAACATAATGCTCTGATATTTGAATATAATGCAAAACAACCATGAAAATAAGTCTAGTTATATCACCATACATAGGTATAAAATTTTTTCTTGTAATGAGAACTTTTATTTAAAAAAAGTATTTATTTGGCTATACTGGATCTTAGTTGTAGCATATGGGATCTTCGTTGCCCTTAACTTTAAAAATTTACTCGATTAACAACTTTCAAAAACACGGTATAATATTATTGCTTATTATTACCATGCTATGCATTATTACATCCTCATGACTTATTTATAAGTCTGTACCCTTTGATCCCCAATTCCCTGCCTCTGGCCATTACCATTCTGTTCCCTGAACTACGACCTTGGGTTTTTGTTGTCTGTCTGTTTTCTAGATTCCAAATGAAATCGTATGGTATTTGTCTTTCTCTGTCAGACTTATTTCACTTAGCCTAATGCCCTCAAGGTCTATCTGTGTTGTCACAAATGACAACATTCCTTTCTATTTTATGGCTGAATATTATTGCACTGTCTATGTACCACATTTCCTTCATTATTGTAGTAATGCTGCAGTGAACATGGGGCACATATATCTTATTGAGTTAGTGTTTTTGTTTTCTTCAGATAAATTCAGGGTACCATCTGAGCATCCTACACTTTTAGCTGAGTTCTGACACTATCTACCCAGAGATGCCATTAAGTTCTACAGGTTAAGACTCAGTCCTACAAGACTGCCTCCTCCTCCTTCTATACTTTGGATGATGGTCTCAAGCCCAGGTTGTTATTAATTGGGTGGCTCTAAATCAGGTCCCCTGGACTCCCTCCTTGGATTTGATTAATTTGCTAGGGCATCTCACAGAACTCAGAGAAACATTCTACTTACTAGATAATCCATTTATTATAAAAGGATCTAACTCAGCAACAGTTCGATGGAAGAGACACAGCGTGGGGGGAAAGGATGAGGAGCTTCTGTGTTCTCTCCAGGTGCCTCTCTCTCAGCACCTCCACATGTTCACCAACTTAGAAGCTCTCCAGACTCCATCCTTTTCAGCTATTATGGAGGCTTCATTACATAGATATTAACATGATTGAGTAAATCATTGGCCACCAATTCAAGCTCCAGCCTATCTCCTCTCCTCAGTGGTCAGGGGTAGGACTGGAAGTTCCAACCTCTAATCACATATTTGGCTCCATTGGCAACCACCCTCCATCCTGAGGTTCACTCCAAAGTTGCCTAATTAACATGAGAAAACACAACTTTGTTATTCTCCATACTTAGGAATCCCTAGTGGCTTAGTGGTAAAAAATCCACCTGCAGTGCAGGAACCTCAGGAGATTCAGGTTTGATCCCTGGGTCAGGAAGATCCCTTGGAGAAGGGAATGGCAACCCCCTCCAGTATTCTTGCCTGGAGAATCCCATGGACAGAGGAGCCTGGTGGGCTACAGTCCATAGGGTCACAAAGGGTTGGACAGGACTGAAGCGACTTAGCATGCATGCGTGCATACTTAGGAAATTCCAAGGATTTTAGGAACTCTGAACCAGAAACAGGGATGAACCTTTTGGATGTAATCCCGCTTGTTTATTTTTGCTTTTGTTGACTCAGCTTCTGGCGTCAAATCGGAAAAATGTTGCAAAGACTTTTGTCTTGGAGCTTCTTTCCTGTGTTTTCTTCTAGAACTTTTATGGTTTCAGGTCTTATGTTGAAGTTTGTAATATATTTTGAGTTAATTTTTGTGTATGGTGTAAAGAGAGTGGCCCACTTTGGTTTTGTTTTTATGTGACTGTCCATTGTTCCCAGCACCATTTATTGAAGAGACTATCTTTTCCCCATTGTTTATTTTTACCTTCTTTATTGAACATTAATTATCTATGGGTGGGTTTACTTTTGGGCTCTCTATTCTGTTCCATTGATTTGTGTTTGTTTTAATGTATGGCAATAGCATAGTTTTAATTATGATGCCTTTGTAATATAATTTGGAATCAGGGTGTGAGATGCCTCTGTCTTTGTTCTTTCTTGTTTCTCAAGATTGCTTTGGGTATTTGGTGTCTCTTGTGGTTCCATAAAAATTTTAGGATAGTTTGTTCTATTTTTTTGAAAAATACTCCTGAAACTTTGTTAGGGATTGCATTAAATCTGTAGATTGCCTCATGGGGAAGGGGTTGGGGGGGTAGCATGGACATTATAGCAATATTAGTTCTTACAATTCATTGAGCATAGAAAATTATCCCATTTATTTGTGTCATCACCCATTTCTTTCATTAATGTTTTATATATTTTAGTGTCCAGGTTTTTCACCCTCTTGGTTAAATTGATTCCTAAATACTTTGTGGTGTCTTTTTTTTTTTTTGGTGCAATTTTAAGTGTCAATCTTTTTTTAATTTATCTCTCATAGTTCATTATTGATATATAGAAAGGCAATAGATTTTTGTATATTGTTAATGTATCCTGCAGCTTTACCAATTCGTTGATTGGTTCTAACAGATTTTTGGGGAATCTTTTATAATCATGTCATCTGTAAATAGTTTTATTTTTTGTTTCTGATTTTGATGC